GGAGATGACAGGTGAGAATCTTGACTCAGATGGTAGAGATTCAGAGAGCTGGGAGGAAGAAGCCAAACTAACATCCAGTGAGCCTAATGCAGCCCAGTTTGCAAAGCACTGAATGAGTGTCAGGACCCTAGGTCCTGAGCCAGGGAAATGAGACTGCAAATGAAGGATAAGGGCGGGTGGAGGGGGCTGGGAAGCCCCTCTAAGGCAGGAGAGAGTGGGGATGCCACAGTTGAGAATCTTCCCGGAAGTTAAACTCTAAAACTGTGTTCCTCTCTTCCTGATAGTGACAGGACCAGCGAAAATTTCAGGTCCACTTGGTTTGAGAGTTTTGAGGGCTTAGCTTTCCTTACTCAGCACCCCACCCCACATCCTTCTAAACATACTACCTTGTATATAGCCCACATTATACAAATAGATATTTTTTCCCACTTCAAAATGCTGGTTATATTTTTGTAATTCTGTTTTTGAAAATATTTGGCTGTAACTTTGAATTTTTTAGTACTTTTCTTCATTTTGCAAAGTGAGAAAACCTGATCTACTATAGATTTTTTCAAATGCAAAAATATTTGTGAATGTTAAATGCAATGGCAAATGAGTTTGACATATGAGATTTGGTAGAACACTTAATTAGACATTTATTAATTTCAAATCTGTAGTTTTATATTTAGTTTAAAACAAAAAATTGTACTTCCCCCCACTCCTGTCCCAATCTGTCTCCAGCATTTTTGTAGACAGTATTGTTCAAGATCATTGGCCAGGGGCCCGGTTTCTAAGGCGCCTAATGGATAAAACAGCTTGCTTACAGTCTTCTGACATGATGGCTTGGGCTGCTTCCTGGAACTAGTATGAAAAAACAGTTTATCCCTTCCTGAGAATTCAGTGCAATGTCATCCAGGGAAAGTGGGCTACAGTGGAATTCTGTTTTGTACATCTCTCTTCTCTAAAATTTTTGGGCCATGTGTCCCTTAGTCTGGTGAACTTCATGGTGCCTTCTCAGAATAATAGAGCAATGCAAAAGATAAAATACACAGGGTTACAAAGCAACCAATTGTATTGAAATGTGTCAATAGTTAGCAAAAAAAATTACAATATAATAATATGTGTTTATTAATCTATTAAATAATGAGATATAGTTGTGCAGCAATGATTATAAACATTATTTTGAGATATCAACACTTGGATTTGTTATTGGGTTTGAAAGTATTTGTTTTTTCTGTTGGTGACAGTCATAGCCACTGATAGCACTACTAAAGTTGGCTGCCTATTTTCACAATGGCAGGAACTGCTACATTTTAATTAGGAGGTATTAAAATCAACATGTATCTTTTTCCATATCTATTTTAAAGAATCTCTGAATTCTATCCATCTGCTGATCACGTCAGAACATACTTTCGGCCCTCCCTGGTGGTGCAGCTGGTTAAAGCACAGGGCTGCAAGCTAGTAGCTGCTTCAGTGCAAGTTAATCCTCAGCCCTGGAGGTGACCCACATGGTGCCGCAGACCTCTCCTGTCTGGCCCGCTGCTCCCCTCTGCAATGTATTTCGTCGACCTACCTGTTCTGCTCCCTACTTTGTCTCTGATGAATCTCTCACTGCCCCTGTACCAATGGCTTGTACATCAGTTCTGTATGCATAAATAAATAAATCTTAAAAAACAAACAAAACATACTCTTCTTTCTTAGTAATTTTGTGGTTAATGCGACCCAGGGTGAATGTTACTGCAGGCCAGAAGTCAGAAGGAAGAAATTAGAAGGAAGAAGACTGTCCTCTCAAATTCCCTTTGCTCTGACCAGCATATTGGTAGTGATATTAACAAAGAGATTTACCTAATAAGTCATAATTAAATTCTTCCAGAGCAGATACTTACTGCATTGACCCTCAAGATGGTTTAGTAACACCTCAGACAGCGAGTTCTTTCCTCAGAGCAGCAGTCTGGTGGGTGCTTAGTGTTACCTTTGGCCCTCTTTCTGCTTCTGCCTGAGGCTGTGGCGCTGGGCATTCTTTGGAAAAGTTTTGTCATTTTTGCACATGTCAGGACAGCTTCCTCAGCAAGTTCATGTCACAAAACAGAACACAGCAAAAGGTCAGTGCAGCAGCAACAGGGGGATGATGTATAGTATTGAGCACCTAGGCTGTCTGTCCGCTAGTAAACAGATTGATTGAAGTCTGGTAACCTGTATAAGGTGATCAGACCTGAATATGAAGCGATCATCCTGGTGTCATCATAGTTGACCAAAATAGTCACCGAGAGTCGCAAGTTACATGTTTCAGGAAAAGCACTTGGGGTTGCTAGCAATACGATATGAACTGAACTGCTTTTTTGTCATGGAACACCTTCCTACAAACAGAAAAACCATGGTTAGTAGATACTTGGCAGATTTTATTTTATTTTAATTTTTTTTTAAAGATTTATTTATTTGTGCATACAGAACTGGGGTACAGGCCAGAGGCTCAGGGGTGGCGAGAGGCTTCACCAGAGACAGAGTGGGGAGCAGAACAGGCAGATCGAGGAAGTACACTGCTGAGGGGAGCAGCGGGCGGGTCAGGAGAGGTCTGCCACGCCATGTGGTCACCTCCGGGGCAGGCGGGAATCGAACTCATGCGGAAGCGGCTTTAGATTGATTCTCAGTGCTGTGCTTTAACCCGCTGCGCCACCAGGGAGGGCCCGGCAGATTTTATTTTTTAAATGGAGAGAGTAAACCTGACCACATTCAAATTAATGAATGGCTTTTAAAGCCATATTAGTGTCGGGCCCATGTCATCTCACCCTCAGTAAATAATCCTTTGTCATTTTGCACATGTTTGCTTTGGCACAACCAAGTCAGAAAGCATTTATGATATACCCGTAAAATGTTTCACAAAAGGCTGTGTATTATGTCCTAGTGGGAAATACTAGTTTTTACTGGACAAAGCATGTGACTTGATTGACTTTTGAGCTATGTGCCAGGTAGAAATGAGGTAGATTATAAAAACAGTTCAGAGAAAACATGAATAAGCAGAATCAGAATTGAAAGAGGAAAAATCACCACAGACAGCATAGAAATACAAAGATGTTAAGTGACTACTGTGAACTGTACATCAAAAAAAGCAATTGAGAGATACATACTGGTTTTCAACAGTTCTTTTCCATTTCTTTCAACAAATATTTACTGAGCAGCCATCAGGTGCCAAGTGCTGGGGTTATACATTTCAGTGGGACTGGTTTCTAGTTAGCTACCTGGGAGAGGAAGATTTAGAAGTGATTATGAGCCTGGGTGATGAATGCCGTCCAATAGCAATCTAAGCACCACCAGGAGTGATTCATCTCTTCTACTTCTTTGCAGGCCTGAACTACAGGGGCAGTAAAGTTGGCTTGAGTTTGAGTGAGTGAGAACTCTTAGTCCCAGGAAGGAGACCACAAGTATCATTAATCTGGGAACAGCCTCAGATGCTACTTTTTCTATCGTGGACTTAGAGGGTGCCCACTCCAGACCTGTTCTAACTTGAGGTGAGTTCTTTTCTTTTCTAATAGGTTTTTTTTTTAATTGAGGGCAAGTCCAATGCTAGATTAAATAAGCAATATTCAATACTCCTATGTTCTAACCTTGTTTACTAACAGAAGTGTTACATTGATCTACTTACTGTTTCAGGGATTACTTTTTTTTTTCAATTTCTTTTAATGTATTGATTTGTCAGTCAACTTTTTTTTTTTTTTTAAGATTTATGTATTTATGTTTACAGAACTGGGTATATAGGCCAGAGGTATGGTGGGTGAGAGACAGAGTGGGGAGCAGAACAGTCAGATATACTGAAATACACTGCTGAGGGAAGCAGGGGCAGGTCAGGAGAGATCTGCCACACCATGTGGGTCAGCTCCCTGGCGGGGGGTCGAACCCATGCTGCAGTGGTTTTGAGAGCTTCATAATATATTGCTTTAACCCACTGTGCCACTGGGGAAAGCCCATCAATTTCTTTTCATTTATTTATTTTAAAAATATATTTTTACATCATTCTTCATTTTGTGCCTTTTCTATCTTGGTTGTAATTCCCATGGGCATCCCACCACTATGGCACTATGGTGCCATCACCATAGTCCCATGCATCTTTCCTGCCCAATTTTTGATCCCTTTCCCCACTCCACCCCCATAAAATGTCTCTGGTCCCTTACGCTCCTGCTGTGAGTGAAACCATCCCGTATTTTTCTTTTTCTTTCTGGCTTATTTCAATAAGCATGATCTCAGGGATTACTTTGAAGAGAACCACAATATGTACCTATGGGTTAACTTATATTAAATGATACTTATTTAGTGAAAGTGTGAAATCTGACTTATGACAAGGGAGAAAAGTTAATTTCACTTGGACTGATTTCTTATCTAGTGAACATGGGAGTTGTGCAATCTGGGGTGGACTGTTAATGGCATCAAGTCAGCTGAACTCTATTATGGTTGCCAGGTTTTATGAGCCACCTGGTGATCCTTTGCTGGTCCTTGATGCTGGTGGGAAGAAGCTGTTTATCTCCATTTTACTGCAGATTTCCCACCCCCCCCCCTCCATTTTGTGGGCTGGGTCCTAGCATAATAACTCCTGTGTAAAATCAGCCCAGGGATTTGAAGTAGGACCATCTTATGCAAGAATAGATTTTTTCCTCACGGCCTCTGCCAGAAACATGTTATTCCTGGTGCATTAATATTTTCTTTTATTTTTAAATATATTCTTTTATTTATATATACAAGAACTGGGATGGAGGCCAGAGATGGGGGGAGGGTGAGAAGATTCACCAGAGACAGAGTGGGGAGCAGAACAGGCAGATCAATGAAATATACTGCTGAGGGGAGCAGCAGGTGCGACAGGAGAGGTCTGCTGTGCCATGTGGTTCAGCTCCCTGGCCAGGGATAGACTTTGTGCTGCTGTGGCTGTGGATAGCTGCAATGTAACCACTTGCGCCACCAGCGAGGCCCACCATTTTAACATTTTCTTAGTGTCAAAGTTGTGACTATATTGTGCTTTACACTCGTCATGAACTATGACGGGTAGTATCTTTGTCTTCAGCCACAAATGGTACCAATGCTACTATTTGGTGACAATATTTGCCTGAACTGTGATGAGTAGCCTTTGAACATGTGATAATGAAGAGTTTGAAGGAAAAGAAAACAGAAGTGGATGTGATTGTTAATTTTATGTGTTCATTTGGCTAGACTACTGTCTTTAGGTACTTGGGCTAACACCAGTCTAAATGTCAGGGTGAAGATATGTTTTAGATAAGGGTATCTTTAAATTGGTAGAAGTTGAGGAAAGCATTTTAGCCAGTCTAATGGGTGGGTCTGATCTAATCAGTTGAAAGTCTTAATGGAAAGAAAACCCAACAACAACAACTAGAGGTTCCTGAAGAAGATAAAATTGTGCCAGCAGTGGACTTTGGACTCAGTTGTAACATCAGTTTTCTTTTTAATCTCCAGGCAGCCAACTCATCTTGTAGAGCTTGGACATGCCAGCCTCCAAAATTGAAACAATTCCTTAAAATAAGTTTTTTTTTTATGTACATAGCCTATTGGTTTTGTTTTTCTGCACTCTGGAGAATGCTTAGTTAAGATAGTAACATACCACAATTTTGAAAAAATGGAGTAAGAAAAGATGGTAACTTGGGGCAAATGTGTGAAGATATGTGTGAAGAAGTGGATTCAGTCTCCCCAACCCCGTCCTATGAGCTGATCTGCCTTGAAGGTGGCACTTTCTCTTCATAGCTGCCCAGAGATTGCTAAGCCCCCATTTTCCTTCATCGCAAATCTATTTAATTTAAATTCAAATGCGTTTATCTCCCCAATATATTATGGAATTATTTGTAAGAGCTAATATTCCTAAACCTATGCTGTTCCATTATATCATTTTCACAAGTCATAAAGAGCTAATTGTTCATAAAGAGTTAATATTGGATACTCAGAAATAACTTAGAAAAACTATTTTGAAATGAGAATCAGGCAAAGGTAATGAGGGTGAAGAAATGAAAAATATGTAGCTTTTTGGAATGCATGTTGAAACCTCTGTACTATTTTCTGTTAGAAAGATTTTTACACTAGACCCATAGGTCCAGAATGTACTAAAATTCCATGGAGATCTTGAAAATCACATTCCTAAGAGAAATATGCCTCCCTAATGGTTCTTAGGAGATCTCAGAGCAACAGTGAAGTCTGGACTCTCAAGCACTGGGTTTCCTATTGAAGATATTTTCTGGGAAGTTTGGAGACTAGAGGAAGACCAGCATCCGGGGAAAGATGTTTTCTTGAGCTAATCCCCTAGATGCCATGAGGAGGCTTGAAAATGCTTTCCAAGGGCAGGACACAAGTGAGGGGAGCTGGTGGCAAGTTTGACCAACCAAATGTAGCTTCTGTACTCAAGGGCTTCATTGACATAACTAAATGTAAAAGCTGTGCATTATTTGTCTTCTATCACACCTTTGGAGTTAGGGGTCATGTGTTAATGACTATTCATGATACTTGGGTCTCTTTATATGGTGTAATGTGGGTTCAAAATCCTAGCAGTTTTGGAACTCTTTCTTCTTATTTAACCTGTTTCCAGTTTCCTAACTGGCAATGGAGGCTGCCTATCTCGACATGTATATTGAATGCAGTCGAGTGTCTCAGTTACACATCTCAGCTCACAAACAAAGGAGTGAATAAAAAGCCTTAATTTTCAGGAACCATATTTATTGCATGGGGTTGCCATCTGTGTTGGTGGGGGAAGTTTATTTGTAGCCGATTCAAGATTTCCATCGTGTACTCTTCGGTTTCTGCCGGAGTTTACCAGTCCCAGTAGGGTTCCACCTGATCCCCAAAGTCATCTAATCTCATAGGCGTCCTCTGAAACGTCAGTTTCCCCATCTGGTGCTTGGCTGTCATTCTGTGTATCCTACTGTGGAGACATTCTTATTCCTATCTAGATGACCCTCCGGCTCGGAGTCTTTCTCTGACAACTCTGTGCTTTTCTTGCTAACCGAAGTTACTCATTTTCTTCCACATGTGCTCTCTTCTGTAGTGCTGTTTCCTTGTAGGTCTGGCCCGTTTGATTTTGGATCCCACACACTTCCTGGGGTGTGCTAAGGAACAAGTGAAAAGCTGATCATACCTGTCACTTTTTTTTTTTTTAAAGATTTATTTATTTATTTGTACAGAACTGGGGTACAGGCCAGAGATGCGGAGGGTGAGAGGATTCACCAGAGACAGAGTGGGGAGCAGAACAGGCAGATCTACAGAGTACACTGCTGAGGGGAGCAGCTGGAGGGTCAGGAGAAGTCTGCCTTGACATGGCGGGAATCGAACTCATGCGGAAATGGCTTAAGCTTCTTTGTGCTGTGCTTTAACCCGCTGCGCCACCAGGGCGGGCCCATACCTATCACTTTTAACTCTCATCCTTATAACTCTCATCCTCTCTTGGAGGGTGGAAATCACTTGTTTTTTCATTCCAAAAACCTCCTCTGTTGTCCTTTGGGAGAACATTGAGTTGATAGATAATTTTTTTATTATCTTTCTCCTAGTATGGAATGGGGGCAAAGACAAATCTTGATGGGGTATAGACATTGCGGGAAAAAATTAGTATTCAAATAATACTAATTTGAATTAGTGTTACAATTCAATTGAGAATAAAATTGGGGAACTGAGTTAGGAAGTACTTCTCTCTAGAGAGACATTATCCTGTGGATTATATACTCAATAGAACACTATATAGCTAGTTATTTATTTATGCATACAAGAACTAGGGTACAGGCCAGAGGTGCAGGGGTGGGGTAGTAAGGGGACTCACCAGAGATAGACTGGGGAGCAGAACAGAAAGATCGACTGAAATACGCTGCTGAGGGGAGCAGCAGATGAGACAGGAGAGGTATGTGCCATGTGGGTCACCTCCCTGGCTGGGGATCCAACTTGTGCTGCAGTGGCTGGGGATAGTCACCAGGAAAGCCTCTATTGTAAAAGGTGAAATAATGCCTTTGGGGAGGAAATGGTGGAACTTGGAGGTGATTATGCTCAGAGAAATAAGAAATTGAAAGATAAAGATGGAGGTCTTTTTACTTACCTGTGAAATATAAATGACCAAAAACATATATTAGCAAAACCAATATTAGGGATATCTCCAGAAAAAAAATATATAGGTTGCCAGAGAGAATGAGGGGAGGGTGGAGGAGATAAGGGAGGGAAGGAATTAGGGCACAGAAGGTTTGGTGGACGATGACTAGAACATAGTCACATACAGAGGAGTAAAAATATGACCTGAAATCATATTTAAAAATTGAAAAAAAAATAAGGAGGTGTTATTCCAAGAAAAGAAAAGTAAGACTTGAAAGATGGATTGGGACCATTAGTTTATAAGGAAACTTGTGACCATTTTTAAAAAAATATTTATTTTTTGATGTTGTTCATTTTTGCATGATACTTGATTTCTCCCTCTCAAGTGTCCCCATACTTCTCCCACCACCACAGCACCGGTGAGCATCACAGTCTCTTTTGTGTTTCCCTCACTTGTTTTGATTCCTCTTCTTCCTTCCCAGCTGTACATCTCTGCCAGCTAGTTTTGTTTTTCCTGATCCTTTATTCAGTTTCTCTATGTACCTACCATATGTGAAACTAACCAATAGTTTTCTTTTTCCTTCTGATTTCTTTTATTGAGTGTAATCCCTCCCAGTTCCACCCATGTTGCTACAAATGGCCTGAGTTTATCAACATGGACAGAGTTGATTGCTGAGTAGTATTCCACTGTGTATTTATACCACATTGTCTTGAGACATTCTTCTATTCTGGGCATTTAGGTTGTTTCCATAGCTTAGCTATTTTTTTTTTCTTTCTTTCTTTTATGCATACAGAACTGGGGTGCAGTCCAGAGGTTCAGGGGTGGTAAGAGGATTTACCAGAGACAGAGTGCGGAGCAGAACAGGCAGACTGACCAAGTACACTGCTGAGGGGAGCAGCAGGAAGGTCAGGAGAGGTCTGCCACGCCATGTGGGTCACCTCCGGGGCTGGGGCTTGAACTCATAGTGAAGCAGCTGCCGCTAGATTGCAGTGCTGCATTTTAGCCCATGCACCACCAGGGAGGGCGATAGCTTGGCTATTGTGATTGTGTTGCAATGAACAGAGAGTATGTTTCTCTGTAGTTAATGTTTTTGTGTAGATTCCCAGGTTTGGAATCATTGGACCATGTGGTAGCTCCATTCTGAGTAATTTGAAGAACCTCCACACAGTTCTATATAGTAGTTGGACCACTTTGCATTCCCACCAGCAATGCAAACATGTTCCTTTTCCTCCACATCATCCCCAGCTTTGTTGTTGCCAGTTTTTTTAATATGGGCCATTGTCAACAGTGTGAGTTGGTATCTCATTATGGTTTTGATTTGCATTTCCCTGATTTTAAGTGAGGGTGAGCATTTTTTTTTCACATTGTCCATTTACAGTTTCCTCTTTGCCGAAGTGTATTTTTATTTCTTTTGCTCATTTTTTGACTGGGTTGTTTGCTTTACTTTTGTTATGTAAGCTTTTTTTTTTTTCTTCAAGTTTTATTTACTTATGCCTACAAAAACTGGGGTATGGGCCAGAGGTGCAGTGAGATGAAAAGTTTTAACAGAGGCAGAGTGGAGAACAGGACAGGCTGATCTACTGAAATATACTGCTGAGGGGTGCAGTGGGTGAGACAGGAGAGTCTGCCATGGCATGTGGGTCAGTTCTTTGACTGGTGATTGAACTCATGGTGCAGTGGCTGGCCATAGCTTGATAATGCTGTGTCTTTAACCCCTGCACCACCAGGGAGGTCCCAGATTTTTAATATCAGTCTCTAATCAGTTTTGTGGAGTGCAATTTTTTTCTCCCAATCTGTGTGTTGTCTCTTCATTTTGCTTATTGATCTTTTGCTGTACAGAGCATTTTAGTTTTGTGTAGTTTTAGTTGTTTATCATTTCCTTCACTTTCTTTGCTTCCGGGTATGATCCTCAAAGATATTTCTGAGATGTAGGTCATGGAGTGTTTTGCCTATGTTTTTCCTCTGTGTATTTTATGGTTTTGGGTCTTACACTCAAGTCTTTTATCCATTTTGAGTTGGTTTTGTGTGTGGTGTGAGGTAGCAATCTAGTTCATTCCTTTGCATGTAGTGGCTGTGACCATTCTTAACCTTTTAACCCTAACTCTCACCAGAGCTGGTTTGGGAGTTTTCAAGAGTGACAGCTGTTGTTATTCTGTTATTTTATATCTGGATAGCAAATATGCCAGCTTTCTAGTTTGTTAATGAATTTTGTAATTCAATGAATTTTATTAAATGACTAACAAAAAGCAGAGCTTCACAAATGTTTACTATTTGAAAGAACATGTTTAAAATAAACTCTGTATTATCTTTTGATCGAGTAGTATTTAGTAGTCTTGGGCATAAGTATGCCTAGAGAACTTATTTCATTTTCTAGTCTCAGTCAGCCGTTTGACCATTCAATGTTGACACAAAATAAAACCACCAATAGCCCTGAAGCACTGTCTTAAGGGTACTGAACTTTGACTTCTTGATTAGAAGTGTTAGTATTGCAGCAATCTAACCTCTAAGATGGATCATCAAGATCGAAGGCTATAAATTATGATGCTTGCCTTTTAAAAAGTACTACTCTGAGTTTCATAGTTTGCAACTTTCAACTGGACGTGACAGCATGGATACGTGGTGCCTGCCTTGGTTTCTGTTCTTTGCCGTGTTCCTTGTGGTTTCTGGCTTGGTAAGAAAACTATATATGGAAAACAATTAGAAAAATTGGGGGCAATGAATACTGATTGTTATAGAACATGTTGTTTTTTCTTTTTTAGTTGCTTAGACATTTCCGAATGTTAATGAAATGAGTCTTTCTTTTTTACCAAGCAGGAGGCAGAGAGAAAATAGGGCGTAAGAAGCCTACTAGAGTAGTCAAACTTATTGATAAGTAGTTTTGTTTTTCTTTCAGTTTTATTGTTGTGCAACAAGTTTTATAATGAGAAAATGGAAAGTGTGAAACTTGAAAAACTCCATTCCCACTGCCAAATTTAAAGCAGTTTGCTGTTACAGCAACTTGAGACAAGAATGAAGTAGTGATGAATGTCACAGACAAAGCAAATATGTAGAAAGTTTTGTAGTATGGAATTGCTCTTTGGCTTCTTCCTTAGTTTAGATTACTCCTTTCATAGTGACAGGAGGTTATTGCACAAACTAACCCAAGGTCTTCAGTGACATTTCCAATGCCTAGAGGAATATCTTCTGTGGTGATTTAAAAGTTAGTAATAATGTTGAGTTAATAGTCTGCACACAAACTGCAGCATTGAGAACAAAATGTAGTATTTAAGACACATTGCAGATATTCTGAACAAACAATTGATAATTTTTTAGAAAAGTGGGAGATAACCAAGGCATTTGATGATATCAAGAAAGAATGATAACCGTCTAACCAGTTCATTCCTACTGCTTGCCAAACATTCCAAATATTTCTAGTATTTAGACACGCAAGCTGCATTTAAATAAAATTACACCTTACAATGGTGTGACATTTTGAAATAGTTTAGAAATTGTTTCTTTCATTTGATATCATAGATTCCTCACAATATCCATGCAAAGCAGATACTGGCCTTATTGTATAGTGTGAGTGTCAGAAAGGTGATCTGATTTGCCAGGAATATAAACTAGATCTACTGGTTACCAGTCTAACTTGGTTTTCTACTAGACTATTTCACTTATTTTTTTTTCCAATCGCTATATAACCTAGACTTTATTTGGTTACTTGTGGACAATTTATTTTCAGTAGTTTTTTTTTTTTAATTTCATAGTGTATACACTGATTTTTAAAAAATTTTATAACAGTTTATTTTTACATATTTTTGTGCATTTTTCCATCTCAGTTGCAATCCGCTTGGGTTTCCCACAACCAAATCACCCTTGTGCCATCACCATAGTCCACTGCATTTCCCTCCCCCCACTGTTTTTGATCCCATTTCCCACTCGACCCCCATAAAATGTCTCTGGTATATAGCTGTTCATCATTATCATTATTTTCTCGCCTGTTCCGTTATATTCCTGTTATGAAAGAAACCACGCAGTATTTTTCCTTTTCTTTCTGGCTTATTTCACTAAGCATGATCTTTTCCAGCTCCATCCATGTTGCTGCAAAAGACATGTTTTTTTTTTCTTGGTTGCTGTGTAATATTCCACTGTGTATATGTAACACATCTTTTTAATCCAGTCATCCATTTTTGGGCATTTGGGCTGTTTCCATGTCTTTCCAATAGTGAATAAAAAAGCAATAAACATGGGGGTGCAGGTATCTTTTTGAATCAGTGTTTTTTTTTTTGTCTCTTGGGTAGATACCTAGGAGTGGGATTGCTGGGTCATAGGGAAGCTCCTT